CCTTTAAACAGTTAGGATCATCTCAAATTCCCACTCGGTCAAACCTTTAAACAGTTAGGACCAAAGCCAAAATCCCCTCTCGACTTGTTCCATGAACGAGAGGTCCACAAATTGAACGATCAAATCTTTAAACGGGTAGGATCATCTCAAACCCCCACTCGGTCAAACTTTTAAATAGTTAGGACCAAAATCGGAATCACCTCTCGATAAATGAAAGGTTTCCACACATTCTCCTCTCGGCTAAACTTTTAAACAGTTAGGGCCGAAGTTAGAATGTTATCTCGATAAACGAGGAACTCACCTACAGTTTGGGTAATCAAACCTTCCGACTGTTAGGGTTATCAAAATCTTTCAGATTCTCGGAGTGGAGATCCCACTCTTAGTTTTGCCTTTTTGGATTCTCGACGTGGAGATCCCACTTTGAGTTTATTTTACAGCAGGAGATAGAATATAAAATTCTTCCTCTCCAGTATCGGGTTCATCTCTACCAATAAAAAAGAGATCAGGAGATAGAATATAAAATTCTTCCTCTCCAGTATCGGGTTCTTCTCTACTAATAAAAAAGAGACCAGGAGATAGAATATAAAATTCTTCCTCTCCAGTATCGGGTTCATCTCTACCAATAAAAAAGAGACCAGGAGATAGAATATAAAATTCTTCTCTCCAGTATCGGGTTTATCTTTTCACCAAGTTTCTTTTACAGCAGGAGATAGAATATAAAATTCTTCCTCTCCAGTATCGGGTTCATCTCTACCAATAAAAAAGAGACCAGGAGATAGAATATAAAATTCTTCTTCTCCAGTATCGAGTTCATCTCTACCAATAAAAAAGAGACCATGAGATAGAATATGAAATTCTTCTCTCTAGTATTGGGTTTATCTTTTCACCAAAAAAGACTTAACTCATTTCCAAATCCATGTTTGATGCATGGGGGAATTTATCTTGATCCCTTATTAGAGATAAGTTTACGCCTAACACGTGTTACCGGGTGGTCCGTTCCCGCGAAAACGACCAAGCCTATGTAATCAACATCATAGCACCAAGTCTAAGAGAGTTTATTCTTTTAGCACAACGTTACATGTAGAACGGACTTAAACAATCTGTATGCTAGCCCGATTCAAACGGTAGTCGGTAAAGGCTCATCAAACCCATTGATGGCTGAGGGTTTGCCAAAAATCCTATAAATGCGATAATCACTGACGCACTAGCTTCATTAGTTAGTCTCGTGACTTGAGTATACGACAAACTCAGGATAAAATCCATACCTACAGATGAACCGACCTAAACAATTGGTCCTGCAGCCTAAACTACTCCCCCATGCTCCAACACCTTAAGAGCTTAAACTGTGTAAACTCCAGTAAACACACGAGGATAAACTATTTTAACGCCTGTCAATGCGTCAATGATTTTTGCCAAAATAAGGCTAAGGAAAAAAGTCCAATGGATGATCTCAGGGGATTCAATTGCGATTCAGATATGAATTCCTAATGAAGACAATCAGTTCAACATCAGTTCAACGACAAGAGCTAATTCACAAATCAAAACATCAGTTTCAGTTCAAGATTTCGACAACGGTCAAGCGATAAACGCAGCACCGGAAGAATTTTAGCTATTCTACAAAGCACTGAGTAGACTAAAAGATGAAGAAGTCAAGAGTTAAAGCCGTTCACAAACCATTCTATGCAACTTCTTCAACTAAATACTGAAGGGATTACAAGTAAAACCTATCTTATCCAAAGTGCCATAGACTCTTCTATAAAAGAACGAGTCTGAGATACTTTAGAGGGGGTATCTGTAGGCGTCAAAAAATGCTCATAGATATCTAAATACAACTCAAGGCTGAGAAGAGAACAATGTGCATGCATGTGACAAAACACACTGATAGGCGACACATATAGGCGCCGCAACCTACTAGGGCGATGCACCTAAGGCGCGACAGTCCATGGTGACGCGCCTATGGCGCGCCAATTCATGGTGACGTGCAAACTACAGGGAGTTGCCGCGGCGGTTACAAAACAGTCACTACAACATAAAAGCTAATCCGTGAGGAACAAGTTTGTCGTTGAAAGTCGAGATTTCCTCACCGTAATATATTGGCGAGGAAAAAACTTTGGTCACCATTTCCTCGTGGTAAGGTGGTCAAGAAAAGTTTCTACGAGGAATATTATAATTTCTCGCGAAATCCTTTTTACGATGAATATATTCTTTTCTCGTTGTTACTCTTTAGCCTCGATATTTTTTCCTCACCTAATCTCATACATTTTTTATCGCTAAACTATAGTTTCCTCGCCAATGATACGTGAATAATATTTAATTTATATATAATAAAAGTTATAGAAAAACTATTTTCGTCGTTATAAGTATCTTTCAGCGAGGAAAATGTTCCTCACCAAAGATAAATCTTTAACGAGGAAATTGATTTTCTTTATTATATGTATCTTTTTTCGTGGAAACAATTCCTCAGTAAAGAGACTCAAATACGAGGAAATTTAAATTTATCGTTGTCGATTGTACCCCATATTCCTCACCAAAGAAATTCAATTACGAGGAAATTTACATTTGTCGATATAGATTATATGGTCTATAGCGAGGAAAATTACTTTTGCCATTATAGGTTGTATCACTATAACGAGAAAATATGTTTTTGTCAACGTAAGCAGTATACTCTATAACGAGGAAATATTCTTTTGACGACGTAAGTAGTATACTTATAATGAGGAAATTTTATTTCATCAATAATAATGCTATTACGAGAAAAACGCTCAAAATATAAACAATTGTCATCAATTATCATCACAGTACATCAAAACAATTAAAATAAATAAAGCAAGGAAGTTTTTACTATAAGTAACAATGCTAGTCTAAAGCAATAACAAATGCAACACGATCAATTAAAGAAATATTTCTCTAAGTTTAAGTTCACTAAGAATACTAAGCTGATGGATGTTGCCTGAAAAAATTGGCCATAAACTCCTCAAACTTTTTGGCTTGCTCCTCCAATCTTTGGATTACCTCATTTTGCACATCGATCTTTTGTTGTAGAGTTCCTACAGTTGTTAGGTCTCTTGAAGTTGTTCTTGTAACTCTTTATTCTTTTCAAACATTTCACTCATCAAAGAACGAGAGATGCTTAATGGTGGTGGTCTAGGGCCAAAACCACAGCCCTTGATGTAGCCTGATTTGACTTTGAGAACTTTTGCACAAATTTCCCCATCTGTCATTATTCCAGTTCCATCAGGTTGAGTGGTATCTGCTCGCATCTTTATCATTTGATCCTCTAAGTAAAAAAAATATATCCAGTTCAATCATATGCAACTTCTCAATTATAACCTAATCAATATAATCCTCTTTAGAACAATAATATCAGTTTCACCTATATTCTTAAAATATTATAAAAGCATGCATCATTGACACGTTACTTACCCATTTTTCCTTTGCTCCCAAGTCTCATCATTTTTTTGTGCTTCTATACTCTGTTTCAAAACGATCAATTGCACCTTACATCTCTCCAGTCTGTATTGCTATTGTATTCAAACATATTTTCTTTTTCAGCATATATATATGTACACAATTAAGTTATAAATTTATAAGCAAAACTAAAAAGTGTCTTACAATTTGCTCTTGGTGTGACATAAATGATTTTGATCCAGCTTTGTGGTGATATGTCAACTTTGACCTATTAAGAACATTCTTCTCTGAGCGAATCTAAAATTATTAAGACATACAGTTAGAAAGAAGTAAATGAAAAAAAGAATAAATGTAATGTGTGGAGAAAATAAAAAATATATATTGTACCTTAAACTTTTCAGTTGTAAGTATAACATATGTAGTAGAAGTTCTACTACTTAATGTTGTTGTTGATTAAGCTTTGTAGTATCACGAGCATGTTATTGAAACTAAAAATTGTTAGCACATTAATGTGCATAAGTATAACATATGTCAATTACCAGATGAAATTCTGAAGACAAGTGAAGATGGTTATCTGAGCCTCTATCGACCAACACTCACCGCACCAGATGTCACCAAAATCACATCCAATCCTTGAGAATTCAATTCTTTGACCTGCAAATTAATCATCCCATCTTTACAACACGAACTTCCAAACTTCTGAGAAGAACTTGCGAACAACTTAGCACTAAAGAATGAACTGCTGCTAATGAAAGCTCAACCTTACCTGCTCGCAAAGAGATCCTAACCTCCCAAGCGCCAACCTTCCATCAATTCTAGTCACATCAGCAGTCCCTACCTGTAAAAATAAACAAACGGAAACACCTAGATTTAGTGCATTTCTACAACTATAGTTAATGGCATGATTTCACTGGTTACAAAGATCCAATCTTGACTCCAATCCCAATCGAGGAAGCTAACTTCAATCAAAAGACAGATTTCTTAATGAATTTGGGTCTCAAACAGTATGAGCAGCTACAGATCAAAGCAAACAACGTGAGATTCACTACTTAAACATCAAATTTTGAATCGGCCAAGTTAACAGCAGAGGCACTCTTCCCTTCAAACTTCTTCATAAACTTCATCACACTCGCCATTCCTTTACGAGCAGAAGCCTTTCGCTCTACTCTTCGGTTCAACAACTTCCTATCCAAAGGCCAATACGCATAAGGATCAAGCTTATCCTTCTTCTTAACATCACCACTCGACTTTTTATTAGTATACTCATTGCCAGTACAAACCGACACTGATTTTTCTTTTGAACGAAAAGGGGTGACGATATGTGCGGCAGAGAAGTCATATCCTCTTTCAGCAAAAGGTAGGAATTCTACTGAAATCCACTACCATCATGCAGGAAACTTTAAGAATTTGTATGTTTTTCTCTTAATTTAATTTAAAATGTGAACAATATAATATAAAAACATGCTTAGAAAGATTACAAAGAATGTAATTGCACTTTCACTGAGAGACAATTAATCTATCAAAACCAGACACAAGGACACATTTGTCTCTAGTTAATGCAGGCGCTACCTAGAAATACTTGTTTTAGTATGAATTGATTCTTAATCCTCATCAGATTTTGCTTTTCTTTCTTTCCACTCTTTGATCTATCAATCGAACAACAATAAAATTAGAAAATAATTAGAACCAACTCAGAAACATAAATGCCACAAGTTAGTTACAAGTGTTTCTACCTTTCTTATGTTTGTAAGGAGTTTCATATGCTCCTCAGGCATCACTGCTCTAACAGCATCTACACCGCATTTTCTCACAAGCATTTCAAGAAGTAATTTGACCTGCCAAAATGAATGAGAAGAGTGCATAAACTCTTATCATTGAAATAGCACATCTATTATAGGTAATTTTCTGCAGTCAATGAAATTATAAACATGTAACAGAATCTATGCAGCACATAAGAAATAGAGTAGCACAGTTTTAATGTACAAGAGAAGGCACAACAAGTTACATCTATAAAAGAGTTACAACTTACATCTATAAAACAACAGTAGTAATAACAATGCATAAGTCTACCACCTTACCAGCATTTTTATTAACACATTTTTACATACTACAAAGTCCAAAGAATACATGCTTTCAGTAAGTTATGTAAACAAAATTCCAACAATCAAAACATATGTTTTTCTTAAGAACCATCACCTGAAATTGTTGGGCCACAATTCAGGAGTCCTTTGTTGTGAATATACAACAAAGGATAAGTGCATCATGATGCAGATATCTGACTGCAGGTTTAGTGGAATGAAATCAGTTCATTCCAAATATTACCAACATATACGGAAACAGAGGCCAAAACAAGTTCAGAAAATACAGTACCTTAGCTTTAAAATGATTTTTAGTATTATCTTGTCATTTCAACAACCCTTCGACCATTGTCCTTAAGTGCATTTGTAGTCTCTCCGACTTGGATTTTGCTACTAGTACCTTGATCAATCCCAAATTTGCCTGTGCCAGTACAGTAAAAAAGCAAATACAGCCAAACATACAAAAGCTTCAGCTGACTATCAAAATTTTCATATGACTTAAATTTGTTGGGCTCAAAATAGTAGAAAGATACTTTGATTATTTCTCGATTTTTCCTTTGGAGGAGAAGAAATGAAGATGGAAGCAAGTTATAAGCTGCACCAATGAGATCTGAGAACTCATAAACCAACCGAGCTAACCCTTTGACAGCTGCACTGATCATGTGTGGCTTTTCATCGGCCAAACCTCCAGCAACCTAGGTTTGAAGAGAAAGATCAAAAGGCAAATAACTACATTTTAATCACATCACCCAATGGTGTCCACAACCTGAAGCATCAAGCAAACAACAATGCAAATAAACATGCGCGTGCACACAACCCACAAACCCACGTATTTGTGCGTGCACGCACATACATCGTCGAAAACACCATTTCTAGGGCCTAGGGGCATAACACCATTTTTTCTAGGATCTAGAGGTACCAAAATTAAAAATATGCACTCTGAAAAATTTATAATACCATTTTAAAAAACTCAAATATGTTTTCCTTTTTCCCGTCCTGGTATGCCCAATCTCAACAAGCAAATCATAAGCCATGTTTCTTGTTTTTCTATTAACCTGCAAGCAATTTCAAATGCATTACTAAGGATGTAGAGAGCTGAAATACAATTATAGCAGATAAAAAGAACATGTTGCAAAATGAGATAAAACAATTAAATAAAGGATTAATTACAATTTTGTACTTTGAGGTATAGTGTAATTACACCTGGAGTTTGCATATCTATATGAGTAACCTGGAGTTACTGATTGTAGTTACATTGATAACCCTAGGAGTCGCTTGTCATCTAGGCTTCAGGGTCACCCTTGTAACTACAACTTGTAAATTCAGTTGGCAAAGCGGGGTTTTAGCAGATCATAAGAATAGAAGATTGAGCTAAAACTGCTATAATTGTATTTCAGCTTTCTACATCCTTAGTAATGCATTTGAAATTGTTTGCAGGTTAATAGAAAAACAAGAAACATGGCTTATGATTTGCTTGTTGAGATCGCCATGAGCGGCCTCTGGTACTAAGCTTTTCCGAGCCAAGTGCTAAGCTTTATTCTGAAGACAAGTGCTGGAGTTGGAGTTGGGGGGACTGAGCGTGGAGTAGAGGACTGGGTGTGGAGATCGCAGCCTCAAAGTCTCAGACTTGGGGCGGAGTAGTAGGGCTGGGTATCGAGATCGAAGCGGATGATGCAGAACCCTAAGACCCAACGGCGGAGCCCGACGAGATCGAAGCGGATGAAGACGACGGGGAGGCGGCGGTGGGAGCGGAGGAGGAGGAAGAAGATGGCCGAGGGATTTGAGAGATTGGGGTTTGAGAAGAGGGATTTCAGATGAGGGTCAGATGAGGAATTTGATGGGATGGGATAAGGGGCGGGGATTTTAGATTTTGGGGGAATGTTTTTTGGGGGGTGGGGGGAAGCAAAGAACGGATTTTAGATTTTGGGGGAAATTTTGGGGGAAGCGGAAAAGAACGGAAAAATAGAAATGTTTTATTTAAAAAAAGAAAAATAATTAAATCACTCAAATGAGTTAAACCGCTTGGGCTAAACATCCCAAACGGTTAAACCTGTTTGGGGGTTGCGTTTGGGATCTCTTAATAGTCCAAACAATTTCAACCGTTTGGGTTTTGTTATCCCAAATGGTTATAAAACCCAAACGGGTTTAACCACTTGGGCTATTTTTTCTTGTCCAAACGGTTCTAATAACCGTTTGGACTATCCTATTTTTGTACTAGTGCTATGTCAAATAGGAATAAAAGATTTCATTGCACGTTTGGTTTAATCTATTTTCAGAAGTCAATATTATCTATTAACATAATCTAATTTCAGAAGTCTGAAATAAATGTATATTCAAAAATCGCAAATTGTTTAAATCTTATCAGATTTGTGAGCAATCATTTATCATTGGGATCCTTTGAACCTGAATAAATATTAATTGGTTGTTAATCTTCATGTGAATTGTGCAAAAACCTACAAAAAGAAACCATCAACCAGACAAACCAAATCCTTATTTCTATCCATACTAGAGCTTTACCTCGTGCTGGACATTTATTCAAAAAAAATCTAAATTGGCCCACGATTGTTGACTTGTATATGGACATTTGTGAGGCCATTGATATTAGAGGCCCGCTCTTTTTTTTGAGTACCCGCCTATTTTTTACCCAAATTCCCGCCAAAATTTTTGCCAATGAATAATAAGGATATTATTATTTCCTCGTTGATTGGTTTTTTAACAAGGAAATGATTTCTCGCAAAACAAAATCTTTTAGCGAGGAAACCTTAAATTTGTCGCCATTGAATTTGGTGGGTTTTGCATATTTTTTCGCCGAACTAATAACGAGGAAACTATTATTTCCTCGCTAATTTATTCTTTTAACGATGAAATGGTTCCTTGTAAAACAAAAAGAATTTCGTGAGGAAACCTTTAATTTATCGTCAATGAATTTGACGGGTGTTGTACATTTTTTTGCCAAATTAATAATGAGGAAAGTATAATTTTCTCGCTAATAGGTTCTTTTTGACGATAAAACGGTTCCTCGTAAAACAAAAACTTTTAGCGAGGAAGCCTTAAATTTGTTGCTATTGAAATTGGCGGGTTTTGCATATTTTTTCCACCAAACTAATAATGAGAAAACTATTATTTCCTCGCTAATTGGTTTTTTTAACGAGGAAACAGCCTCTCGTAAAACAAAAAATTTAGCGAGGAAACCTTTAATTTGTCGTCAATGAATTTGGCGGGTGTTGCAAATTTTTCCGCCAAATTAATAGTGAGGAAACTATAATTTTCTCGCTAATAGGTTCTTTTTAACGAGGAAACGGTTCCTCGTAAAAATAAAAACTTTTAGCGAGGAAACCTTAAATTTGTCACCATAGAAATTGACGGGGGTTTTTTTCCCGCCAAGCTAATAATGAGGAAACTATTATTTCCTCGCTAATTGATTCTTTTGATGAGGAAACGGTTCCTCACAGATTATGGATCTTCAGCGAGGAAATCATACTTTGTCGTTGTTACATTTGGTGAGTTTTCCTCAATTTTTCGCTAAAAGAACAGCGATGAAATGATTATTTCCTCGTTAAATATGCGTTTCGTGATGAAAAAGTTCATCGCCAAAATCTCATATTTCCTCGCCAATAAAATAACTAGTTAGGAGACCAAATCATGATCATCTTTAGTGAGGAACTAAAATTTTCATCATAGAAGGTGGTCTACTGTGAGGAAAATATATTCCTGATCATCTTTAGTGAGGAACTAAAATTTTCATCATAGAAGGTGGTCTACTGTGAGGAAAATATATTCCTAGTAGAAGACCTACTGATATTTACAGAGGAAACAATATTTTCCTCGTCGAAAGTGATATTTGTTGAGGAAAATAATTTTCTCGCAAAAACGTTGGTCGCTAAAAGACATGTCTGTTGTAGTGAGTTACAGAATGATTCTTCAAAGTCCACGTGGTGCCATGATGGAAAAAAAACGTGTGCTGATGTGGACAAGTGGTTAAATCACGAAAAAAGTGGTTAAAAGTCGTGGGAGGGCGGTTTCAAGCACGATGGGAACGTGGCTGTAACGACCTCTTTGGCCGCGCCAGTCCACACTGACGCACCAATAGCCGCGACAGTGTAGACTGACGCGCCCAAAGAGCATTCACTTGGTCAGTTATTTCGCCCCCATTTCCACTGTTGTGCACTTCTATCCCTATAAATACCTCCCTAGACACGAAACAAAGGACAGACAGCAGATTGGAGCATAGAGACTTGGGCTTTTGATAATTTTGAGGAAGAAATAGAGAGTTTTCACCTTTCATAAACAGTGTTTGGTGATTCCTAGAGATCTAAGCTCAGACTTGATCTTTGGAAGAGTGAACATCTTACATCGATAAGATATTCGCTTCAAATTCTTACTTCGATAAACGAATAAAGAATCTCTAAACCCCTTCACAATCTGTGAATCGGTGGTCTACGGGCTAATGCACCCCCGGCACAGGCAAAGATCCCACTCAAGCAGTGATCCAAACAATGATCCTGCGTTTGTTTCTAAGGAGCTTGTAATTTGATTTTTGTTGTAAAGAGTAGTTTTACAAAGTACGAAGCTTACTCTTTTGCATTCATTGTAATTGATAAACAGTTATAATGAATTCTACAACAGAACTTGTTCCTGATGCAAACAGGATAATGTTGGCCACCCAGTCAGGGTGTTGTTCCTCGCGGATAAATCCCAACTAAATGAGTTTCTTGACTTCAACTTCAATCGCCTCCATAATTTGGGGTCGAAATCGCCTTTGCTGTTGTTTAACAGGCTTGACGTCCGGTTTGATATTTAAGCGATGCATAGCCACTTGAGGATCGAGACTAGGCATGTCCTCATAGTTCCAAGCAAAAACATCAATATACTCTCGCACTAGAGTAGTGAGGTTTTCTTTTTCTTCGGGCGACAAGCTGTCGCTTATGAATATAGGTTTTGGGTTAACCTTGTCTCCTATGTTCACTTGGATCACTTTGTCATCAGTAGGATGTTCGCGTTGTTCGAAGCGGTGTTCCCACTGTATACCAAGCTGTCGGCTTAGCGAATCATCAAGCAGAGGTAAATGATCATCTTCTTGATTTTCTACCGGAGATGTCGAGGTCATGTTAGCCATGAGTTCCTTGAACACAGCTCCTGTACTGGTATCGGACTCCCAGCAAATGGATTCAGAAGATGAGCTACAAGGATCATCATCCGACTCTCCATTGGCTCCAAAATACAGCGTGAACAGCGGGGATTCATAACCTAACCCGCTATGAGTTAGCACGAAATACGAGAATTGCGGATCTTTCGCTTCCTTCTTGGATTTTTCTAAAATAGTT